CTGTCTGGGTTCAACGATGCAGCACCGTCTGCACTGATTCTCTGATACTGTGCTGGTCTGAAGAAGAAATGACTGTTTCCACAGCAGCATACAGAATAAAATAGTATAATTCACAAAATCAACACTGTTAATAGGAAAGTGAAAGACTAATAATGCAGTAGTGCAAAGTTTTATGTATCGCAGTGATAAAAATCAGACTCATGCTGTGCAGACGATGCAGCGTGCACTGAGATTGTGCAGGAGAGAATTCTGGCCTGGCAGGGAAAGCGGCATTAATACAAATATATAGAGTGTAAACCTGAAGAGATGAAGCATAAAATGTGTGGAGTCTGTCCTGACAGGAGTGTTCACCTTGTAACAGTCACAATGGTGTGGTGTCTCTTTAAGACAACCCAAGTCGAGGGTTAATGTTGTCATCCGTAAGCGCCACTGACTCTCTCTGTGATTGAGTGGACATGTGCTTGCACGCTAGTGCACGAAGAGGGACGGATTTTATGTTTTACCTCTCCAGACACCGTTTGCAACGTTATGGGTCGTACGAACACTGCGCTCTATGTTTGTTAAGCTGCAGCCGTTCAACCGGGCTTATGGTTGATGAAGAGAGGGTATATTAAAGAACACGCTGTGGACTTCCCAATGCCAGTGCGAGTGTGTATTCTTTTGGCTACCCTGCTAAGTGTTTTGCCGCCTCCTCTCAACCACTAAACGCAACCCGACGTTACAACCTGCAGAGAGAACAGCATCATATCCTGCAGCGTTCCTCAGGTGGGTTCTCCACGATGGACAGCAGTGTGTTCAGTCCTGACCCTCACTGACTGAGTTTTTGACCCTGCTGGCACCTCTGGCGACTGGTAGAAGTTCTCCAACATGTTGGTGCACACACTGAAGGATCTGAGCTTCGTCAGAAAGTAGAAGCAGAATACGGCGCACTCTGCCCTCCAGGCTGTTGCAACATGCGTGACGTACAGAACATATGACAGAAGGAACCGCTCCTTTCAAAGTGATCGTCCTGCTGCTTCATGTGACTTCAGAGAGCAGCATAATCAGAAGTGTCCTGTGGAGAATTGTGGCGTGATCTTCTAAATGATGGAGCGCCCCCTGTACTGATAAACGTGTGTTTGCAGCACAGCGGGACGGCGAACACAGCGGGACGCCTTCGATTACGGCGCTCGGGAACAAACGTGTGGAAAACACACAGAAGCAAAGCTGTGGATGAAGCTGTGAGGGAAACACGAGCTGCGTCTCACAGTTCCTCCTGAAGCAGTGACCTCCTCATCCTGGCTTTCCATCATCAAACACTCGGCTTCCTTCTTCACAAAGAAAGCTGTTTGGATTTAAAAGGATTTGGGAAAATAAATTCTGGCTGAGACAAGTTTTCTTTTTTAGATGTAAAACTTTGCTGTCTTGTTGCTTCGGGAGCTTTAACTTTCCCAGAGGACATGAGTCTGTGGCTTTAAGCTTCTGACATGCATCCGTGATTTGAAGCTGCATAAATACAAGAGACTGATATTATATTCCATCCCATGGAGGTCCAGGACAGCCATGAAAGCAGACTGAACAGAGACGTTATCTGGTAATTGCAGCCTCAGGTGATTATCGGTCATTTCTGTCTGCAGCTCTGCGTCGGGGCCATTACCCGCTGTTTCTGTAGCCTTTCATTTCTTTACAATTCGAAGACTGAATCCGCAGAATTAGCTTTTAATCGTTTCATCTGAGCCGTCACTGAAGTATAAAAACATGAAGACTCTCAGTGCTCTGATTTCTAAATGAGTTTGGACACCAGATGTAACGATACAGATGATATGGTTGGATCTGATGTGCAGTGTATGACTCTGTCTCTGCTCCTCACAGCCTGAAAACCTCTGAAATCCAAATTAAAAGTAGGCCGAGCAACAGCAGCCCAGTAAGCGTTTCTTTGGCCTCCCGTGCACAGGAGTTTGACTCTTTTCAGTTTGGCCCATGCCAAAACTATAAGTGTCAAACCTTCGCTGGATTAAAGAGCTGAACATTGATGAAAACTGCTGAGATCAGACCTGTGATCTGGGTTTGATCTCAGTGCTGCGAAAACCTCGTTTTTCAAAGGTTTGGGAAAAAGTTGAAACTGTGAGTCATCCAAATACTCTCCTCACTGCTGTAAAAGTCAGATGATGACACTTCTCACTTTTCAAAACTTGAAAAACGTCTAAGAATCTGTTGTATTAATGTCCTCACTTCCTAAAACAGTTCTCGGTTATAAAACTTCACATTTTAACAAACAGGTTTTTGCTTTCTGAACAAAAACAGCTGTTTGGAAAACAAGCTTAATTAAAGAGTCGGGGCTTAAAAACACAGCCTCTCACCCCGTCAGCCCAGGCACTGTGTAACCACACAGATGTGTACCTTTCCTCACTACATCATGGATTAATCTGTGGTTATACAGCAGTTTCTACTCTACGGATCGGTCAAATAAAA